CTGGGCAACCTAGTCAGAGTTTGCAAAGCGCAAAGGAAAAAAGTGTTAAGCACAGATCGATGGACCGTGCTAAAAGCAAAAAGGAAAAATAAATGTTGTCTTAGCTCGGCTATAAGAAATATTATCCATTCTTAGCCCGGTTTGAGCAAGGGACTTTAGCCAGATTAAGTAATGGGAAGTTCGTAGCCCGGTTGTAGCTTATGGTGCAGCATTCTTAGTTCGGTTTTTTACTAAGTCAGGGAGCTGGTTTAGCCCCAAGTTATAGCTCGGTCGGTGGTTGAGGCTTTCTAGCACGTTATTGCGCAAACTTAGTATGGTTCGCTAGCTCGGCTAACTGAGGCAGAAGGTACATAGACCTATTGAAACTACAAGAATGGCATTAAGTTTTAGTTCGATTGTTTAGTTTGGCTAGGTTCGCACCTAATATAAACAACTTCCTAGTCCGATTGGAGTGTGATTTTGGATCTAAGACGTCCCATTTCAGTTTGTTTGCAAATCCAGTAGGTGTGAATACTATTCAAAGAAGTTCTTACTCATTACAGAAGAAACTATTTGAAGAGTGTTGTGAGGAAACACGTACATACAAATGGTACATGTTGCCAGTCAAATGGAAAGCAAAAGAGGATTGACTTACTTACAGATTGAAGAAGGGAAGATGTAGATATGAACCACGAGGATGGTGTTGAAGATGCAAGCTTCACAGGTGCAAAGGTTGCAAAAATGGAGGCTCAAGCAAGAGGGAGAGACAGAAGATGAACAGTGCAAGTGAAATGGTTCGATGCATAAGGGTTTGTTTTGTGAAAAGGAAAGGGAAAAAAGGTGGGACTGTTCAAAATACACGAAGTACGAAGACGGCGTGATAGCTACGCTGGGCCAATAGGAGTCTGTCACGTGTCTATGGAATAGAAATCGATTCAGTTACAACGACTGAAGAGACGTTTTGACCGGACAGATTGGTAGCCTGGTGTGAATTTAACTCGGTTGGGAGGCTAAAGTTTTTAGCTCGGTTGGAAGGCTAAAGTTTTTTAGCTCGGCTGGTAACAGGTAATCCCTATCATGCTGCACAGATGGAATTAAGGGGCAATTGAGAGGGTAATTTATATGTAAATTGGGCCGAGCTGAGTAATAGGTCGTTCTGTTGGCCACAGTAAAAAGGACCTTATAGTTAGCCCGGTCTAAAAAGAGCCTTGAAGTTAGCTCGGTCACCACGATCAAAATGGTAGCAGTTAGCTCGGTCGTACCATTATGAGCCAAGGTATTTTGGGTTTTTACTCAAGACCATGCTACTGAATAGCCTGGTCCAAGCACGCTATGGATAGCGCAGTCTCAACAGGTGAAACCGAGATACAAGCTGTAAAAAGAAGAGCCAAGCTAGTTAGAGCTTGGTCGTTTCTACCAGTTTAGCATGGTCATGTTAGCTCGGTCGTAGTGACATCCAACCATGGTAAAACCATCTCACTTGGTTCAAGCAGTGAGGGGGGTGTTGAAAGATAAGCATTATTTTTCAGGAGAGTGATTCGTAGGGATGACTCTATATGGAGGAGTATGAGTCCTACTAGGATTGTGTCACATGGAACCTATAAAAGCTCACAACATCACCTATGGAGAGGTAACATACAATTTTGATTCTCGAATACACAGAGCTTTTTGTCTATTTGTCTATTTTATTGACTTAGGCATCAGAGAGGTATCTGGCACACACTCGCCGGCTAGCTCACGTTTATGTTTTCAGGGAGTAAAGCGACGACGTTTGGAGGAGTGCAAACTTGATCAACAAGATTATACGAGAAGATTATTTCATGCTCGTACAGGTATAATAGTCCAACAAACAATAAAGGACCTCATGGAATAAAAATATAAATATATGGGACTAATTGGGTTATAATTTTTCTTAGTAGACTAAATGGAATTTATCAATAAAAAAACTCTAAAATTTTTAAATAAAAATCAAATATTTAAATATAAATTTATAAATAAAATGTAATTGTTTGAACATCAGCAACCATACCATTCATAAACAGTGTTGGAGAATTCTCAAAAAAAGGTTATTTTTAGAGATACTTACGTGTAGGTCCTAATAAGTGAACTTATTATTTAATAGGTTCTATGAGAAAAATTTGTTATAAAAAAGGTCACTAATTGTAAGTTTTAGCGATAATTTATAAAAATGATGACAAAAAAAGTCACTAATTGTCAATTTTTAGCAACATATATAAAAAATTATTTTTAGCGACAATTTTACCAAAACTTATTTTCAATAAGATTTGATGGGAATTAAGTCCAATTAGTAGGACATATTGATAGTTTACCCTTATTTTTTAGTTTAAAAAGAAAAAAAAAATCATTAAAATTGATTTTCATTAATTAAAATTACATAAATTTTGTAACAATTTCAAAATATATTAACTTTTGTGACTTTTCAAAAAATAAAACTAAAAAGTAATGAAAACGTAAACCCCAAACCACCACTTACCATAGGACTCAATTAACATTATCTAATTAATATATTTATTGATATTTTGGTTAAAGTAGTATTTGATAAATTAAAAACTCAAAATTGAATGTCAAACTTTTTAATTTGATAAAAATTTAAGTATTAATTTAAAACAAGTTATTTAATATGTATAAGATAAAAGAAGATTGAATATTTTTAAATTTTCTCTTCTAATTTTTAATTGTTGGGGTGACGTAAAAGTGGTGGTGACAGTATTAGTGGTGGCCATGCTGCTAATGATGATGTTAGTAGTTGTCGCAGGATCGTGGTTGTGGTGATGGTCTAGGGTAATGCAGTGGAAGTAGAGAAGCGATGATGGTTGTGATAGTGGCTACGACAATGGTAATGAAAGGTTGTGATAGCAATGATGGTAATAGTAATAATGATCGTAATTGTATAATGGTGATAATAAAATGATGATAATGCTTGCAATGACGATGATAATAATGGTAGAGGTGCTGATAATGGGATTTTGGTGATATATGCTTTGGAAAATAAAAAGGTAGAAGTTATGGTTTGGTAAGGGTGAGGTGTATTAAAGATGACAATAATAGTGTTGGTAAGGGAAAGGTGTGGAGGCCATGGGGAGCCATATGTGAATGCTAGAGAGAGATTAAAGAGCGAGAAATGAAGGATTATTAGGGTTTGCAAACATCTTAAAGAGAGAGGGAGAGCGAAGAAAGAGAGAAGGTCAAAGTGGGGCAAAAGTGGGAGGCCGAATCGTCTCCCGCCTTTCCCTGCGGCTATTCCTGCGATGCCCCAAAACGACGTCGTTTTGGGGCAAATTTTCAAAATTTCAAAAAAAAAAAAAAAAACAGAATCAGAAATCAGAGAAGAGAAAGAGAGGAAGAAGAAAGAAGCAGAGAGGAAGAGAGAGAGAAGAAGAAGAAAGAAGGCACCACCGCAGGCCTTTCTTCACCCACGGCGCAACCATCTCCCCGCCATCGCCGACTACCAATAGCGTCCGAATCTTGTTGTTGTTCTTCTTCTTCTCCTTTTTCCTCCTCCTCTTTTCTCTCACTAAAACTACCACCCTAGCAACCATCTCAATTTTTTCTCCTCTTTTCTTTGCTGCCGGTCATCGTTGCCGTTCCCCCTCGGTCGTTCCTTGTCGATCTTTGCTGGATCTAATGTTTGACTGTTTATATTGATCTAATTTTTATTAATTTTGATTTATCATCAAGTGTTATTCTGTATATATATATATACATCTGTATATATATACATACATCTTAGATTTTTGGTGTTCAGGGTGTTTGTATTGTTGTTCAAGCGTTGTAATTTGGTTATTGATGTGCAAGTGTTTGTATTGTTCTGGATGCTTAAAAGATTATTAGTGTTTCGGGTGTTTGAAGTGTTTGCATTATCGTTCAAGTGTTTGTATTGTTCTGGATCTTTTCCATTTTGAATTTGGAATTCCACAAAGTGGGTTTGCATGAAGTTGTTTAAAATTATGTTTAACAAATTTTTAATGAATTAAATATGAGTCAAGCTAATCGTTTGACAACCATATTTCTACATGGAAAATGCTCCGTAACTCGAGAAAGTGAGGCTCGAATGACGCGAATGGTACGGAAAATATTATCTTACCGGTAAGTTTTTGAAATTTTATCCTAAAACGACGTCGTTTTGGACACTGTAGGAATGGCTGGAGGGAAAAACGGCAGAGGATTCAGACTCCAAAAGTGGGTGGGAAAGCAAGAGGCACTTGCGATAGTAGGAGGAGGTATAAGAGTGATTAGGCTGAAGTGGGAAGGCTGCCAATGAGTTAGGGTTATGAAAGGCGAAAAAAAAAGAAAAAAAAGGTAACTTGTTTTGGTATTTTACAATTTGATGTTTTGAACCCTTTTTAAGAAACTTCAATGTATATTGTATTTTTTTTATTAAAATTTAAATATTTCCTTTTTCATTCCATTGTATATCAATTTTTTCTAAAAAAAAAAATATTGACGTGAAAGTCTTAATAGATAAATTAATAATCTATTAGGTCCTATAATAATATTTTTTATCAATTACTATTTAAAAAAATCATAAATTATTAATTTTCAACGTCTGTTTGAAAATTTTATTATAAAAAAAGTCATTAGTTACAAATTTAGCGACAGTTTTAAAAATCTTCACCAAAAAAGTCACTAATTTTTAAATTTTAGCAACAATTTAGAAAATTCGTCAAAAAAAATGTTATTAATTACAAATTTTAAAGACAATATATAAAAATTGTGACAAAAAAAAATACTAATTATCGAATTTTAGTGATATATGTAAAAAATCATAATAAAAAATTATTTTTACCAATAATTTTACTATAACTTATTTTTAATTAAATTTATTAAATTCAATTATTAAGACTATTAATAATTTATCTTAAAAAAAAATTCCTATAAATCGTTTACAACTATTTATTAAAAATAAAAAAATATAACAAATATGTCACAATCACAAAATATCCTTGTCTAACTTTCCTTTCACTTTTGTTCCAAATAAAAAAGCCTCTGCTTTCACTAAAAACGCTGTTCACCTTCACCTTCACCCTCACCTTCACCCAAGCTCCAGAGCTTCCATAGCTCAAACCACACCACCTCTTTCTCTCTCTTTATATATTTCCAAACACCACCCAAGAAAAACCTAACAATGGCAACTCAAAACACCTTCTTTTCTCTCTCTCCTCTCTTCCTTCTCCTCCTCTCTCTCCTCTGCATCTCCCTCCTCTCCGCCGCCGACGACTCCGCCGTCATGCTCAAACTCGCCTCCTCCGTCTCCTCCGCCCCCTCCGACTGGACCGGCTCCGACTACTGCTCCTGGACCGGCATCAACTGCGACAACTCCAAACGAGTCACCTCCATCAATCTCGCTTCCCGGTCCATCTCCGGTTCACTCCCTTCAAATCTCAACCAACTCTCCAATCTCCAAACCCTAGCTCTCCAGCAAAACTCTCTCTCCGGAACCTTACCTTCTCTCTCCAATCTCTCCTCTCTCCAGCAAGTCTACCTCGACACCAACAATTTCACTTCAATTCCATCTGGGTTTTTCTCGGGACTCACCAATTTGCAGAATCTGAGTCTCAGCAACAACCCTAATCTCGCGCCGTGGACGATTCCAACCGATCTGACTCAATCGAGTAGCTTGAGCACTTTTTACGCCAGCGCCGCTAATATTGTGGGTTCGATTCCAGATATCTTTGGTTCGTTTCCCAATTTGCAGAAACTTCGACTCTCTTATAACAATCTTACTGGTTCGTTACCGTCGAGTTTTGGGGGATCGGCGATCTCGAATTTGTGGCTTAACAATCAGTTATTTGGGTTGTCTGGTACTATTGATGTGTTGTCTTCAATGACCCAGCTCTACCAAGTGTGGCTTCAAGCAAATGCATTCGTGGGTCCGATTCCAGATCTCTCGAAATGCACCAACCTGTTTGATTTGCAGCTCAGGGACAATCAATTCACTGGAGTTGTGCCTCCTTCATTGATGGGTCTTACTAAATTGGCTAATGTGTCTTTGGTTAACAACAAATTGCAAGGTCCTGTGCCTGTGTTTGGTTCTGGAGTTACGGCTACGATCGGGACTACCAATAGCTTCTGCAAGAGCACTCCTGGGCCTTGTGATCCCCAAGTGACGGTGCTTCTTGCTGTTGCTGGTGCATTTGGGTATCCCTTGACTCTGGCTCAGTCTTGGGAAGGCAATGATGCTTGTTCAGGATGGACATTTATCAATTGCAATCAGGGCAATGTTTCGGTTGTGAATTTCGGGAAACAACGGTTCTCCGGTACAATTTCGCCCGCCTTTTCGAATCTGACATCGCTGCGGGATTTACTTTTAAATGATAATAATCTCACGGGTTCGATTCCTGATAGCTTGACAACTTTGTCACAGCTTCAAGCTCTTGATGTGTCCAACAATAATCTTAGTGGCCCAATACCTGTTTTTCAGCCAACAGTGAAGCTTACTACCACTGGTAATCTGTTACTTGGGAAGAATACAACCACTGGAAGTGGAGCAAGTGGTGGAACATCGGGTTCTGGATCGAATTCAACCACGCCCAGTGGAAGTCCATCAGGGACTTCAAATGGGTCTTCCGTATCAGTAGGTATGATTGTTGGTATTGTGATTGCTGTTGTTGTTTTTATTGGTGTTGTATTGTTTGTGTCTTACAAATGTTATGTCAAGAAACGGCGTCAGAGAGTTGGGAGGGTTGAGGGTTCTGAGAAAGGTTCGGAAATGGTGAAAGCTGCGGTAGTGGGCGTAGCAAATGAGTGTGGTGGAGGCCCGAGTGAATTACAGAGTCAGAGCAGTGGTGATCGTCGTGAAATGCCTGTTTTTGAAGGCGGGAATGTTTCGATATCAATCCAAGTGCTTCGGGAAGTGACAAACAATTTTAGTGAAGATAATGTCTTGGGTAGAGGAGGATTTGGAGTTGTTTACAAAGGGGAATTGCATGATGGGACTAAGATTGCTGTGAAGAGGATGGAATCTGGGGCAATGGGTACCAAAGGAATGAATGAATTTCAAGCAGAAATTGCAGTCTTAACAAAAGTTAGACATAGACATTTGGTTGCTCTTCTAGGTTACTGTATCAATGGCAATGAAAGGCTTTTGGTGTATGAGTACATGCCACAGGGGACTTTGGCTCAGCATTTGTTCGAGTGGGCTGAACTTGGGTACTATCCTCTTGCTTGGAAGCAGAGGGTGACAATGGCATTGGATGTGGCCAGAGGGATTGAGTATCTTCACAGCTTAGCACAACAAAGTTTCATTCATAGAGATTTAAAACCTTCTAATATACTTCTTGGGGATGACATGAGAGCCAAGGTTGCAGATTTCGGTTTGGTTAAAAATGCACCTGATGGGAAGTACTCTCTTGAGACGCGGTTGGCAGGAACGTTTGGGTATCTTGCACCTGAGTATGCTGGTAATTACACTGTTTCCTTTTACTTATTTCCTTCTCTGTTATAGAAGTTACATTGAATTTTACATAGGATTTTAGAGTAACAACCATTGAAAGCAAAACTAGATGTGTTAAATTGTACCTTTTTGCAAGTATCAACTGCTCTAGACATAACTATCTTCTTTAATGAATTCCTTGAGTGGTTGGCATTTATGGTCCTGTTTTTCTGGAATACTGATAGTTGATATAAGCTATCATAAAGGCATTAAAATGCTATAATTGACAACTTGTGTCCAATTAGTCAGATCATTAAGCAATTGGCCTTTGTTTGCTTATGCCGTATTTCTTTTGTTTTATTGTTTCTTGTTGATTTTCTTTTCAGAACATTTTACAGAAATCTGTGACCTTATAACATATCTCTTTCAGTTATACTTGTAACTCCCTTTGTAAATAAACTGTCTATGAAACTTTACTGACTGAAACTAACTTGAAACAGTTGTTGGCCATTTTTTTATAACTGTACACATCCTTGTTATTTTTCTATGTTCTGTATTACTATTTTATAAGTGTGGTTTGTAAATTGTTTGTTTTTCTGAATTTTTTTGAGCTTTAAGCTGTCTTCAATTTTAACTGGGATTAAAGCTACTTTGTTTCGTCAACATCTGTATTGTCAGTCCTAAAATGCAGCCAATCTTTTTTTTGTTGTTGTCGAACAGCTACAGGAAGAGTGACTACAAAAGTGGATGTTTATGCGTTTGGAGTGGTTTTGATGGAGATAATCACAGGAAGAAAAGCCCTAGACGAGTCTATGCCAGATGAGAGATCTCAATTAGTCACATGGTTCCGCAGGGTCCTAATCAACAGGGAAAACATTCGAAAGGCTATTGATCATACTCTTGACCCCGATGAAGAGACTTTTGAGAGCATTTGCAAGGTCGCTGAGCTGGCAGGTCACTGTACTGCTCGTGACCCTTCTCAAAGGCCTGATATGGGTCACGCTGTTAATGTCTTGGGTCCACTTGTGGAGCAGTGGAAACCTTCATCCAATGGAGACGAAGAAGGCTACGGCATTGATCTCCACATGAGTCTTCCTCAAGCGCTTCAAAGATGGCAAGCCAACGAAGGCACTTCCACAATGTTCAATGATCTGTCCTATGGCCAAACCCATACGAGCATTCCCTCAAAACCTTCAGGGTTTGCAGACTCATTTGATTCAATGGACTGTCGATGACAAAAAAAAATCAAGATTAAAGTACTCATGGAAAAAGGAGAGGACGGTACAACCTTGTGAGGCAAGTTTCCACACGGTCTAGTCCTTTCTGTTGCTGAAGAATACTATAGTTTTCTTAAATTTGTTGGGTTTTTTTTTTTTTTTTTTTTTTTTTTTTTTTTTTAAATTTGTTGGGTTTTTTTTTTTTTTTTTTTTTTTTTTTTGTTTTTGTTTTTTTTACCTGTATCATATATGTGTACCCTTTTTTGTACGCTTTTCTCATGATAATGATCTGCATATATGTTTGGATTCTTTTAGAGCTGACTAGCTGTTTTGGAAATGACATAGGAAGAACAAAGAAAGAAGATTTGTATCAATTTGTTAATGATATATTTATTATTTTTTTCCCTTATGATCTATCCATACTTGTTGATGTAGACATATGTACAAGTGTATGGTATGTTTGATTGGTTTTCCAGGCTGTGTAAAAGTGGTGGAACCAGAAATTCTGTAATATGACAGCAAGGTTTAGTGGGTATTGTGGACCAAAAATAGGCTTGGACCTAAGCTGGCAAGGAAGAGTGAGCAAGGAGGGTTTTATATTGCTTTTGAGTTCATCATATGTATGTTTTTAAGGAGTTTGGTGGGGTTGGGTTTGAAAGTAATATTTTCACATGGGATGAGAAAGCAGAGATATAGAGGGGGTGCATGATGTGGTGTTTTCTGTTTTCGTTTGTTGTTTTTATAAAGTAAAAGGGAAGTTTATTGAAGGAGACTTTTGTTTGTGTTGCACATGGTGGGGACCTTTCCTGAATCCTTTTGGTTGGTTGTTTTTTTCCGTTATATAGAGGATGGAATTGATGGTTTTTTATTCATCCAAAAAAAGGAATTGATGGTTTGGATACTTAACCACAACATGGAAACTATCATTTTTGGAATGAACATGATGGGGCTTTTGGTTGAATTAAGGATGTGATGGCACGTCTATTTCTTTTTCTTGATTCCCAATTAGTACAGCGCTTCAATAGTCAACTTTAATTAATTAAAGTTATTTTGTTTGCTTGTTTTCGTTTTCCCGTTGGTGTTGTTTGTTTTGATTTTCTTCTCTGTTCGAGGTTGTTATTCTGTACTGTATTGCATACTATACCTTGTCTTATTATGAATGAAGTTTTTATATTTGTCACCCAAAAATATAAATATATATTGATTATATTAATTTAATGGTTACTTTATCATTTTGACACAACTAAATTTCACATCATCATTATCTAATAAATTTTGCATGTCGAATGAGCATTTTTTATCTCACTAATTTTGATTAGTATGAAAATTTTCATTTTAATTTCTTACTAAGTTTTTTGTTTTTTGATTTATTTGAAGATGCTTAAATTGTGATTATCGGGATAATTTAATTTTTGTAATTATAATTTTTAGTAATTTTTTGTGCTTTTGTAATTTGTAGAGTTTTTTTTATAGTTTTAGTTGAGTTTTGGTTTGTGGAAATTGTGAATTGTATTAGGGAGAACAATTGGGTAAAGTGTTTGTGTTGCCGCTTCATTTAAACTATCCAATTTGAAAGTGACATGTGACAGGTAAAGGATATTTTGTGGAATTTGATAAGATAGTGAAGAGTCCAACCTTCAAAGAAAGATACCCACGTGAGCCGCGAATGCAAGTTTTCAATCGATGAAAATGCTGAGCAACATGCGAGAGGCACATGAAGAAAGAGTTAACAAAGGACAGTTGCTAGCGATTACACACAAGTACGGAGAGAAGATTATGGCCCCAGAAAGTAGCGAGAAGGAAGGAGATCATGGTGAAAGATAGCAGCGTAATTGCTTCAAAGACATCAGAAGAAGGCTATAAATAGATGAAGGTAAAGACTAAGAAGACCTCGACCAAATTCAGACTCTACGTCTTTATCAATTTTATTTATCTTTAAATTTCAACAATTTATTTTTATGCACTATATTTACATTTCATAGGAGTAGATTAACTTTGTAATTCCAAAACTTGATTGGTTTAAAGTTTCGAAATTGCCTTTACTAAAGGAAACATTTTGTAATTGTTTATTCAATCTCTCTCTCTCTTTCTCCCTCTCTCCCTCCTATTCTCTAACGAATTTGAGTCAAAACATTGGTTCATCTTTTCAACACAATATAGTAAAGTCTTTTTCATTGAGGCTAAGAGAATCTTAACACAATCGCTTGATAAAATTGGCATTTATTATATGTAAAGACTTTCAGATCCTTACTATAGACCGCCCAAACTCGCTCCGCGCGCCCCCCTTTTGGAGAGGGCGCGAATTGTAGTTCTAGTAACTACAATTCGGACTCTTGTCACGGTTCTGAATCTAATCTCATGAAGTGTAATGTAAGACTGATAAATCACCAAAGAGTCCAAATTCGACAAATCGTTTTAGAAAATCGATTTTAAACAAAAGCGCCGAACATGGGCTGCTTTGCCAGATTTCAGAGTCGCTACCTAAATATTTTATTTTTGAGAAATTTAGGAAACCCTGACTCATACCTAAGGCCACATGTCCGTCATCACCAAAGTTGTCTCGGCTCGAAAACTTGTGTACGAGGGGGGAATGTCATGAAATGAACACCCCCGCTCGCCCGATCAAAGATCGGCCTCTACTAAACATGATATGTGTTTTTGAAAACACATGTGTTCTTATTCCGGTTATTAGCTAACTTACTATATGATGTGCACAGCATACAAGTATAGACTCAATCGCAAGAATTGGAACAAAATATCTCATGTTTGTTTTTCGAAAATGGTTTGAAAGTGCTTCTCGCAAGTAGGCTAAGACGTGAATTTGTTGCCCTCAAGTGGGCTTAAAACATGATGATTTGTCACTCTCAAGTGGGCTTAAAACGCACATTTTGATGAATTGTTCCAATTCAAGCAATGAAGCATTCATCCACAGGCATTCATACAGTTAAACACTTAAACAGTTAGCCTCATGGCAAGCATGCTATCATGGCAGTCACTTACACGCATGCAAGGATGCTAAAGCATAAATACTCACAGTGTACTTCGAGCTAAAAAAGAATCTAGTTAGAAATCATGCATGATCCTAACTATACAAGATGCTTAATGCAACATATGCAAATATGTAACTAAAATAGGCTCGGCTGTCTAGAATGGCATATGAATGCAACACTTGATAACATGCTCTGAAACACATATTCAAGAAAGTGTATTGAAATACAAGGCAGTTTGAATGATGTGCTGAGCCCGGTGCATGCAATACGAATGAATGATGCACGCATGTAAAACATAAGTATGCTAATTGAAACATGACCTAAAACTAACCATAAAAAACTGGTAAATAAAAGGGAGAAAGACGTGGAGTTAGAAGACATTTACACACACACGCACACTTATTACAACATTTGCCCTCTCGACGGAGGGTCCGAATAAATGAGCTAAGCTAATCTAAGCTAAGCTAATAACTAATCTAATAATCTAATTAGACTAATTATTACACAACCAAATTGAATAACTAGCTACAACTAATTATTACAATAATTAACTAATTAATAAATTAATTAATTAAATTACAAATTCAATGCTAACTAACGAGTAAAGCACTAAATTAAACTACTTCAGCTCTGGTTTGAAGATGTTGAACATGTATGCTCGCATTCGGTTTCTCGCCCTGAAAAGCTTTTTGGTTTGCTCTCAAGAAACTCTGCTTGCAGGGTGTCTTCCAGTTTTTGTTGCTGAAACTTACCAAAACAGTGTTGGGAAGTGCACCAGTGGCCTGCCGGCCATAAATGGTGGCTGCCGACCCCCCTGTCGGCCAAAGATGCACACTGCCGATGTAAACACCCCATTTTTGACCGACCTTAAGACTCAGACGTCACTGATTGAGCGCTTGGTGATATTGCATATTATGCTCGTTCTAAGGTTTTAGAGTCTCGGCTGCGAGCCTTGCCTCCGGACTTCTAGACTCTTTCGTGTCTTGCCTAGGTTTGCGAACCAGGCTCTGTTTTCTCTATTTTCTCTTCCCGAAGGGAGAGAGAGGTCTCTCGTAGATCATCTCTCAGTGGCCGTAGGCTACGTTTCGTGGTCGTAGGCCATTTTTCCCATTTGGAGCCCAGTTTCCGATTTTTCGGAGCCGTTGGCCGTGTGCCTGGGTTCAGGACCGCCTAACCACCTCCGTTTGCTCCGGTTTTTGGTATGCAACTTGTTTCCTCCCTTTTGAGGGACACTGTGGCCCGAGAAACCAACTTCGTGGTCGAACGCCACCTCCGGTGCTTAACAACCAATTTTTGGGGCCCCGGGCCGCGCGTTTCGGCCCCCGAACCTCCGTTTTGCATCCATCTTGGTTCATTTTTGGTGGAGACCTTATTTTCATTGTTAGGAAGCTTGTAGGAGGGTGGGAGGCCAGCAATTGTTCTGAAAGCCAGCTTTATTTCTTCATCGCTCTCCATCGCCCGTTTTTCCTCACTTGAAAGCTAATGTTGACCACCCCGGGGGTACTTTCTTTAGCTCTAAACCCCATATTTGTGTTGTACACTCCTGGGAGGCCACCAATAGGAATAGGCCGACCAGCAATTGTCTCTGACCCTTTTGAATCCCTCTAAAAAGCTAGCTTTTCTCTCTCCTGGGTCACTGTTTCTGGTTCTTCTCTACAAGGTTGTGATGTGCTCATCTGGGAGGCCACCTTTCTAGGTAGGTCGACCAGAAATTATGATTGACCCTTTTGAACCCTGGTCGGCCGACCAGGGGAGGTGGCCGGCCGGCCCCCGGAACCTTCTGAACCTGGTCGGCCGGAATGCTCTCACCTGGTTCCTTCCAGCTGTATCCTCTGTTTCCCCCCAGATCTTGTATCCGAGGGAGGGTCTTTTGGGGGGGAAACTTGAATTTGATTTTCCTCCCCTTTTCCTCCACTCCTTTCCCTATAAAACCAGCACTTCCAACTGCATTAAAAAAGGTTAGAAAAATTGTTTTGAGCTTGGTATACACATCTCTCTCTATCCCTCTCATCCAAGCTTCAAAATACCTTAGTTCTTGGCCATTTCTACACCAACTCCTAGCCTATCAATCTACACTCCATTCCAGCAACTTGAGGCTACTTTCCAGAGGTGAAGAGCTCCCAAACTTGGCCCAAAAGTTGTTGAAGCTTGGTTCTACAAGGGTGAGTCCCATTTTTCTTCTTTC